AATCTAAGAGTACCTTAATAGGGGTATGGATAAAGTAATGGGTTGAAATACAAAACAGCAATTGAACAAATAAATTAGAACTATACTTAGCAATGTGGATACGACACAGAAACATAATGTTGAATAAAGAAAAACAAGTTGCAGAAATACACAGCCATGATATCATTTGTGTACATTAAAAAAATGCACAAAAACAAGACCTGGTCAGGAAGCATCCATGCTGCTAGAGGGTAAGTAATGCCTACTTCTGTCTGGACAGGAGGACAGGCCACACTAGGGAAACTTGCAAGGAGCCTTCTACTGAATCTTCAACCAAACGATTTTACTTTCAGATTCTTCATCTGTTAAAAAAAAGGGATAAAAATATAGAGAGTAGCTGTTTATGAAGCATAGCAATGTGTGTGTGTGTGTGTGTGTGTGTGTTGCAGTCTGGGGATTGAAACCTTTGTGCATGTTAGGTAAGTGCTCTATCTCTGAGCTAAACTCTCAACCCCAAATGAATAGTTTAATTAAAAAACAAACAGCAAATGCTGCAAAATATTAATGTTGTTAAATCCAAGTGGTGGGTCTTTGAACTTTTCTGTGTTTTGGATTTCTAATACAACAAACTAACTCCTAAGTAGCCCAGAGCTTCTTCCCCAAATCGCTTCTAATTGCATCCTTATTAGGGCCCTGGAGGCAGAAGGGCTAAGAGGAGGTTCAGCACAACCTTGAGTTTCATTCTTCTCTCCTGGCACTTGCCCTTTGCTGTGCTGATTGGGGCTGGGGCACAGGTGCAGAAAAGATCCAGATTTTCATTAGAAAAAAGCCTGCAGCTATGGGGGTGGGGAGGGATGGGTTCAGGGAAAACGCAGAGAGAAACTGGAGTGCCAGGGTGCTGAGGTTTTGAGAAAAGGCGTAAGAAACAGGTTGAGAGGAAAGAAACTCATTCAAGGTCCTATCAAAGTAGAGCTGGAATCTATCTCTGCTCACCTAACCCATGTTCAAATTAGAAGCCAGAGTATGTGAAAGGCCAGAGCATGGACATTGACAGGCTTAGTGAGAACCCAGCACTGCTGTTGAGTGCTTGTGTGGCCTTTGGCAGCCCACCTGACTCCCTGCATTTGGGTCACTTTTGCCTCCCTTAGAGTGTCATTGAGAAGAACAAAAACATCACATAATGTTCTCTCGAGGGACTTAGCAGAACTGGCATTGTGTCACATTCTCTGTGTTTATTTCACAGCCATTCCAATTGGTTTCAGCCATTCTGGGGTCACTTGTTTTATTATACTCTCCTCACTCCTGCCCTTTCTCCCAACCCACATCAGGACAATTTCCTATGGACAAATGTTTAGCTCATCTGTGTCCAAGAATTGAGCTTCTCTTTCCAGTGAAGTCAGCTATAACCGAGAGGAGCAGAAATAGCAGCTCCTTTTCTCTGGTGTTCTTACTCCTGGTGTTCTTTCAGCCCATCGATTTTGGAGGCAGGCCAATCACACAGCCCTAGAGCCGTTGCCTAAAGAATCCTTCCATCTTTTAATATAACTCACAAGGAAAGAGTGCCTTTGGCCCCTTCTATACATTGGACTTTCCAACTCAAGTGAAGGATTGTGAATAGGAAAAGAAGGAAAGACCAAGATAAATGATTTCCCAGTGATATGGAAGAAGTGGAACTGCTCTTATTTGTATTAGAGACTGGCCTATTTCTGACCTTTCCATCAGTGTAGGACATGAAAACTTGAAGATCACAGAGTTGAACCCAGTATTTCTCCTTCTCCTTTTCCTGGTAGCAACTATCCCAATGAGTAGTTCCTGCCTCCCTCACTGTGCAACTTTCTATTTTGTTTTATTTATTTATTTTTAAAATTATTGCTAAGTGTGCTATAGATCATTATCATCTTTGTTCTTTTTGATTCCCCAGTTGATTTGACTAATGGGAATTCTTCCAAACCAGTCTTGATGTCGTTTTGATATGTTTCCGTCAATCTGTTGGTAACTCCTTGTTCATCAGCAGAAGATATTCCACACTTACTTTGTTCTCTGTCCAAGAACTAAGATTAGTAATTTCTCCATGGAACACTGGTTCTTTGGGGTGGATAATGGTATTTAGAAATCAAGATTTGGGTACCATGTGTGCTTGCTGCTGGGTCCTTTTAGTGCAGAATAAAATAAATGAACTCTTTCTCCTCTCTCTCTCCCTTTCTACACACACACACACACACACACACATTTACACACTCTCTATTGATTATATATTTCTGGAGAACCTTAATCTGGCTTTCATGGCATTAAAATCACAGACTTCATGCTTACCTTATTCATATTTGTGCTTCTCACATTTTACAGTGGGAATTACAGTTTGCATAAAAAAATATATTTACTATTTGTTCTATCCCAAGTATATCAAGACAATCGCACTGGACTCTTCATAAATAACAATGTTATGAAAGAAATTAAAGGTGTAAGAGATATTCTGCATCAGATGAAACCCAAAAGCACTGCCCATCAAATGTGCTGCATGACACTTATTTGGATTCTGTGCATTATTGGGGTACTTTGAACATGGAACAACATTAGATAGCCTTCTATAAATCTAAATTTCCTGGGTCTAAAAAATTATATCCTGTGGAAAGAACATATTTTTTTTGAAAGAAATAAGAGATGCATGTTGAATTGTTTAGGAATGAAATGTTTCGATGTTGGCAAAACACTCTTAAATGGTTCACAAAACATGTCTGTGTACACATATGCAGACATATACATATAAAGAAAAAGAAAATGTGTACAAATAGGGCAAAATACTAACCATTAGAAAAATTGAAGTTTAGGAAAAATGATTGGATTATTCTTTCAGCTTTTCTGTTGAAATTTCTCCATTTGAAACTTTTCAAAAGATTAAGGTAGGGGGAATAGTGGCAAGCATTGCACATTAAATATCATAAATCTACTAGGAAGGTTTATATCCCAAGTGCTGTTTTGTGCTGGGCCCACGTTAAATGCTTTAGTGCACTAGTGTTCTAGCTTTTATGCTGCTGTGACCAAAAGACCTCACAAGAACAATTTTAAAAGAGAAAAAGTTTGTTTGAGGCTCATGGTTTCAGAGGTCTCAGTCCATAAACAGCTGATTCCACAGCTCTGGGCCCAAAGGGAGGCAGAACATCATGGCGAAAGGGCATGGAGGAGGAAAGCAGCTCAGGACGAGACGTGGCCAACAGGAAGCAGAGAAAGAGCTCTGCTCTCTGGGGACAACATATATACCCCAAGGCACACCCCCAGTGACCTCCTCCTTCCATACCCTGCCTACAGGTAAGCCCTTTCTGTAGACTAAGCTGCTAACTGGATTCCAGCTCTTGTCGGATCATTTCATCTCTGAACCTTCTTGTACTGTCTCATGAGTGAACTTTTGGGGGCACCTGATATCCAAATCATAATAATTGTCTTTTTCCTCATCACCACAATTCTTTGAGGGAGAATTATTTGATGTCTCACTTATTTGATGTCTAAGGCATCGGAGGCTCAAGAGGAGCAGAAACTTGTAGATTAGGAAGCCTGGGCCCAGCAAGGAGCCCTCTATGAGGCCACCAATTAGAGTGGCCCCAGCAGGACTATATGACAGGCATTTGATTCTTCCAACAGCGGGCAATCCATTGTCTCAGAAAATTTCTTCCTTGTTGTTGTCTTGCCCACTGGAGCGCCATTAAAAAAAAATATATATATATATGTATGTATGTGTATATATATATATATATATATATATATATATATATATATATATATATATAGTTGTCAATTCTGCTAGGCTCATTTTAAAGAGAAAAGATTCTGTTTGCCCCATTCCCTTTGAAAAAGATAAGCATCCAGCTTCCTGTCCTCTGCCCTTTACCCAGACCTTTTATACCCATTACTTTCAGCAATGCATGTTCTTGTGGTTATTGGGTCACAACTTTATCAGATTCCAAAGATGTGAAAACCCGAGCAGGCAGCAGGGCCTTTAGACTAAGGGCAAGCATTTCTATTCATTAGCAGAGGGACAGTGATTCTTTGTCTGCTTCTAGCTACTTGCATGCTATTCACTTTATGTATAAGCAGAGAGTTAGCCTACCAGTGTTCTATGTACCAGGGGTTAGGACCTATTAGTGGGTCTTGAAATCAATTTAGATGGTGGCTGTCAGCATTTAAAAAAAGTGATTTAGAATCAAATTGGAAGAATAGAAGCTATTGGAGTGTATGTTCATTAGAAAGGTAGGTATTTTTTTGTGAATGCACATATATAGACGTATATAGGCACAGAGGTGCACACATATGTTTATTCTGGGTCACAGTTGAAGCAATTCAGAAACTACTAGTCTAAGTCTGGGTTTGGCAAGTGCCTGTTTTTGTGAACACAGTTTATTAGAGCAAGCCACACCTACTGTATGTACTGTTCTTGGTTGCGTGGAAGCATGCAGTGGCAGAGTTGAGTAGTTATGACTTACTGAACGTATGGCAAAGCCTAAAATACTTACTGTTTGACTCTTTACAGAAAAATTTGTTGTCCCTTCTGCTTTAGGATATTGAAACAAAATTTTCAATTTCAAAGTCTAATAAAACCTCCATTGTAAATGATCTCTAGAATTTCTATTTCTGGTATTTCTCCTCCAATAGCCATGTCAGCTGCAGTACCTCCCCAAACAGGTTCATGAAAATGCAGGTTTAACTACAGAAATGTAGGCATAACAAAAGCACTGATGGCTCAGGAAACTAGGAGTATTCAGATGAAAGGTCCTTCCAGCACATAGCTAACAGGATGACCTTTCTGTCCTAGGAAAATATTTTGATGTTTAACCTCATTGCACTCAACCAGACGTTTCCTTGCACAAATTTTCAAGTGAAATATTTCAATCCTGCATTCATCTTGGGGGCCACGTGTCTTATCCAAGTTAAATATTTCCAGAAAATAAATGTCTAGACACCGTCTCATATAAATTAAGCACCCGGTTTTTAAAAGATTCCTAGCAGACCTCCTTTTGGGTGTGGGGGTGAGTATAATTTTACTTCTGTGAAAAATGCTAGGTAAAGCCTCATGTGCCTAAGTCAGTGCACCTGCAGGTGGCTAATGAATGCTGCTCAGTCCTTAGCGGACAGTGGTGTGCATGCATGCCTCTGAGTGTGTGTGTGTGTGTATGTGTGTGTATGCACCAGGGAGGGAAAAGTATGGGGATGACAGGCCTCAAGGTGAGTATTCAGAGAACAGCTCCTTTTTCTTTCCTATGATCAACTATAAGACTTGCAGGTGACACGGCACAAGTACACGTCCACCTACCTCAAAGAGGCCGCCATGCCTTGCTGAATCCTCTCTTCAGAGAACAAGAACAGGTGAGTGAAGTTCATGAGGATAGAATTATGCTCTGTCTCTTGGACTTTGGATTTCATTCATGTTTGAGGTTTTCAGCTGGATGGGCTTTATCCAATTCCACTGAGCTATTTTTAGTGCCTTTGGTATTTACATTTTTCTTGATATACACTTTTTTATATTTATTTATTTTTTAGAGAGAGAGAGAGAGAATTTTAATTTTTTTTTCGGCGGACACAACATCTTTGTTTGTATGTGGTGCTGAGGATCGAACCTGGGCCGCACGCACACCAGGCGAGCGCCCTACAGCTTGAGCCACATCCCCAGCCCTGATATACACTTTTGTATCACTGAGAAATACATTTGGTTTTCTTTCTACCAAAGTGTGAAACTTTTAGGAAAACTCAAATACTTCAAAGATGAAACATTTTAAAGGCACTCTTGTATTTTTAAAATGTCTTTATGTTTTTTATATATATATATATATAACATTTTTATTCATGCAAATATAACTTCAAATGTTATAAGTCATTTACAGTTAACATAAATATATTATAAATAGCCATCCCTTATATAAATATTATAAAATAAGCTTGTATTTTGCATAAATATTACAGTATATATGTTATGTATAACAATAAGTGTATATATATAATAAAACATGTTATTAATAAAATAACAATGTTATGATTTAATATATATTTTCATTATGTTTTTGTAACTGCATTTTTGATAAAAAAATCTCATGAGGGAATTTACAGTGAAATATATTAATTGATTTGAAATTCAATGGAGAGGTAATTAAAGAAGTACTTATATTTTTCTTCCTTTTTCTTTTTTTTGTGTGCTAGGGATGGAACAGGGGCACTGTACCCCTATATTTCATCCCAACCCCTTTTTATTTTTTATTTTGAGAAAGAGTTTTTCTAAATTACCCAGGCTGGTGTCAAAGTTGTCATCTTCTTGCCTCAGCCTCCCATGTTACTGTGTGTACCACCCTGTCAGTACTATATACTTTCTAGATTTTTGCACAATCATGTACAGTACTTTTCTGTGTTTTAGATTTTATATATATATATATATATATATAATCTAATGTGATAAGACAGTGCTCATGTGGCCTGATGTTGGTCACAATTACAACAAAGCTTAATCCAGCCCAGCATATACAAGTGAAAGTGTAAACCACAGACATGTTTAGATATGTGTATGTATAAAAGTGATGCTGAACAATTATATAAGCTTTAAAAAATATAGGGCCACCTAATGCCATTTACTTCAACTCTCACTGTTAAATGAAAGGTGTCTCTTTAAGATTTTTATACTTCTGATAACTAGGTAGTGCCATGGAAGGAAAGGAAGCTTCTGTAAAGTTTGCAGTACTTCTAATTGGAAGGAAGCAAAGGGAACCAAAATAAACTCAGCTTGAACAAGAACCCCAGAAGGAACATTCATGCTTTAAACAATGACTTTACGCAACACTGTGAAGAGGGCAATGTTTCTGTAAGATACTGTTATGAAGAGCTGGTAAACTAACATTTCTACTTCATTTGGGGGGCATCAAAAACAATCTGAGTAACTAAATGATTATGACCACCAAAAAAAAAATTATCTCAGGGTTCAAATGTGCCTTGGCCTTAAAAATTATATGCTATTATAAAGCATTCTTTGTTCCTTGTCCCATTCATTCAGAATGCTTAGTTATTAATTTTAAATGACATCTTCCAATTTAGTCATCTAAAATAATCTGTATTCCCTTTATTTTAAGGTATGTAGTGTTCAATAGGGTTCTTTGGTATAAATTTGTTTTTGTTTAAGTTTCAACAATTAAATTTTCATTCATTCAACTAAGCTGCTTTATTCAGGCCTACATTTTTTTTTAAAGGTAACTTTGATCAATTGAATGAAAAGGGACTTAAATTTGGATTAGAAATATGCATAAAGTTTTTTCTTGGATTTCTCAAATTTATAGGTCTATTTCTCATAACTCATTATGTGCATATATGAAAATGACACATCTGTATACAAGCAATATCTATCAAACAATTCGGCCATGTACATTTGTTAATTACTGTACTTGACAAAGGAAGGTTAAATTATAATGTGAAACCTGGTTTTATGAAACCAAAGATGAGTGCAGCATTTCCGTATATATGGTAAAAATAAGGGAATCAACATGTCACATATATAATCTATCTTATGTGTTATATATATATATATAAGATAAAATGTATATCTTATGTCACATAAAATATATAATATTGGGAGAAAATTTTTGTATATAGATATGTATATATTAGGAGAAAATTTGGGAGAGAAAGGAGTTCAGGCATCCAAGAGAATAAAGAAGGGAATTGGACATGTCATTGAGATAGATGTAAAATTCTTTTTTTTCTCCCTACCTAGAATCCTGTGAGAAACAGACGAATTTCTGGAGACACCACTTTTTTCCTCTTATTCATTCAAGGACTGTTCAGTGGATGCCTTTCTGGATACCTGCTGTGTGCCAGACATCAGAAACAACATCTATACTTTAATGATTCTTGTGATGCAGAGAAAGTGAGGTGGGGAGAAGACACAGGAAATAAACACATATGCAAGATAATTTCAGATAGTGGGAATGTTTGGGATGGACGATAGCAGAAAGCATGCTGCAAGCAGAATCTGGGAAGGCCTCTGCAAAAGGTTGATGTCTGAATGGAGCCCTTAGTGGAGAGAAACCCAGCCTTGCAAAGATGGAGGGAAGAGTGTTCAAAGCAGAGGGAGAAACTAGTGTGAAGTCCTGAGGAGGGACTTGGAAAGAACTCATTTTGAGGTCACATCTTGTACAAATAACTTTGAATCTCTGCATTTGAAAAAAGGCTTGAGGGATCCTTGTCCCTTAAGACTCACAGAGGAAAAGGATTCTGTGTTGAAATGACTTTTAGTAATTAAAAGTGGGGTTAAGATGAGTGCATTTGCTGAGCAGACATTTACTGCAAGCTCTACAGCAAGCCGGCTGGACTCAGCTGTTCCAAATTCTGAATATGAGGCTCTATGAAAGATTATATTTTCCAAAGATGGCCACAGTAATTCTCCTAACCCACATGCCCATCCTTCAATATGACTTTGCCATATACAAATTTCAATAGAGGAGTCCAGCTTCCGTCCCTGGAATCTGGAGGGGCTTGTGATTATAGTACAAGTCATTCTATTTGACATTAGAGGCCAAAGGCAATACTGTAGTCTGTCATGTTCTATTGGGTCGATACTCTAGGAAGCTACAGTGAGGAAGCACAGGCTGCTAGGTGGAGTGGCTTCATGTAGATAACCTCAGCTGACCTCTCAACAACATATGGCAAATCCTGGTTATGTGAATAAAGGAGACTCATATGACTCCTGCTCCCATCTCTCAAGTCACTCTAGTTATAGTGTCTTCCAGTTGAGGACCCAAATATTGTAGAGCAGGAAAAAGCATTCCCTTTATGTTCTTTCCAATTCCTGACCCACAAGAAAGTGGTTGCTGTTTTACACCACCAATGTTTGATGGTTTATCTCACAGCAGTCAACGACTGGAACAGGTGCTTAGTGTCTTCATTGCAGCTGTGGGTGCCGATGGTCTTTTTAGGTGGGAGAGTCTGCCACTGGGTTCTAGAATTGTTAGGTGAAAGAAGTCATCCAAGTGGGATTCCAGAGGCAGGACCTTTACCACCAGGATGAGCAGCCAGGCTGGGGCATTCAAACCGACCACACCTGGTGAAAAGCAGGCAGATGACTCCACTCCCATGCAGTCCTTGCAGGTAGACAGCCAGCCAGCATCTGTGTGCCTGTGTGCTCCGCCCACTGGCCTTCATGCTTTCTTCCAGCAGTGTCCCCTCTTCCATATGACCCCTTCTCATGTTCCATTGTGTTCCAACCAAACTGTATTATTTGCCATTCTTTGAGAGTAGTCTGCAAAGCTCCAACACCAAGTGCTTGTTCAAGTGTTTCCGTCCATGCAATGGCCCCATGCAAATGCAACCTCCCCCGCTGGGAAGGATCCCACTATTAATACCCATGCAGTTTATAACATAGAGATCAATAACACAGGCATGGGAAATATTCTGCCTGACACAGCCCTCACACAATGACTTACTAGATGGTGAGTACATTACTTAACATGTCCAAGCTTCAGATTCCCCATCTGTAAAATGGGGATGATAATAGCAGTGATATTTCATAGAAATATTCTGAGAATTAAATGAGTCAATTTGTGAAAATGTCTATAATAACACATGGCTCATAGTAACACTGTAGTAAATACATATTCCATATATATATATATATTACATATATATATATGTATACCCATATATATTATATATATATATGTATACTCACACATATATAGGATATACACAAAATAGGTATACATAGGTATATATAATATATTTATATGCATAGTGTACATATATATATTTTTTTCCTTAAAGTTCTCACAGGCTCAGCATTGTTTTGATTGTATTGTTGTCAGGTGGTTGTATATATTCTGCACCTACCTCCCATGCATACTCTTTTTTTCTGGAGGGGCTTACAGGAGATTGAACTCAGGAGCAATCGACCACTGAGGCACATCCCCAGCCCTCTTTTTTTTTGTATTTTATTTAGAGACAGCTCACTGAGTTGCTTAGTGCCTTGCTATTGCTGAGGTTGGCTTTGAACTTGTGATCCTCCTGCCTCAGCTTCCTAAGCTGCTGGGCATTATAGGCATGTGCCACTGCACCTGGCCCTTGTACACTCTTTAAGGTGAGTGAAGCAGATCTTTGTCATGGTTGTTTTATCTTGGAAACAGTGTAATGCTGTCTCCTCCAGAGCAGGGCACCTCTGTGCCCTCAGAATCCAGTACAGGCTTGTCCACTGTAAGAGCTCTATAAATGTGCTTAGATTAATGAGTGGCTAAGCGGCCCATCTGGGACGTGTCAGTAGGACATGCAGTCTAATGCTCCAATGTTGGAAAATCCATTTCTTCTTCTGTGAGCTCTCTGACCATCCCTGGTCTCAAGAGGCAGAGGTCTGAGACAAACCCCGGTGATCTGACATGTCAGCTTCCAAGAGGGAGCCAAGGTCAGAGAAATTGGAGTCGGTCATTAAACACGAAGGGAGGGTTAAGGCAACAAGAGCTTTTACTATGTTGTGACATCATCTCCTATCCATTTATATGGGTGAACATGGTTTACCAGTGGTCCAGGGAATTTGAAAAAAATGCTCCAACCCCTCCATACTTTAAGAATGTAAACGGCCCCAGGAAATGACTTGGGTGCTGAGGTAATTTCCTAGATGGGCTTGCAAATTTCATTTGTCGCCAATTTCAAGGCAAGGGCAGAGAAACTGGAAACTGGGATATAGATGGTTCTGGGAAGTGAGGGGCACATGGATAGCATATGTACCACCCATGGTCTCTGTAGGAACTCTGGGAACATGACATCATAAGCCTGGGACCAGGTCAGTCTTCAATGATGGGACACTTCAATGTGGAATTTGGAAAGAGAAAATCTCTCCCAAGTGGAGTGGAGATCAGCTACAGTGGCACGCAGCACTATAGACTCACATTCACGTAAATGTTCTTTTAATACTGTCTGCCAAGCACTGCTGAGGACACAGAAATCAGTACAACTTCTGGACTCAAGATGCTTATCATCAAATGCGAGAGACCAGCACATAAGCAGAAAATATCAGAAGGGTAAGAGAGGGGGAGGATGATGGATGCTGGGGAAGCACAGGGCCAGAGTGGTACCCGAGATCTAACCTGCCAACACGAATGGTTACTGCCAGTGGGAGGGGGTGCTTCCTTTGTGACGTTCCATGTACCTGCCAGTATTTCTCCATTGCAGAAGAGACCATAGTATTTTCTTTATAAAAAACCTTGCTATAAAGAGAAATCCTATGAGTTGAATATCTTTCCCCAAAATTCATGTTGAACCCTTAGTCCCTAGTGTGATGGTATTTGGAGGTGTGTCCTTCAGGAGGTGATGATGGTCGAGAAGGTGAAGCCCTATGGTGGAATTCACATCCTTCTAAGAGGAGCCGCTCACTCTCTCTCTCTGGCCATCGTGTGAGGAGGCAAAGAAGGTGGCCTCATCAGAGAGCCCTCATCAGAACCTGAGTATGCCAGAGCCTTGATCTCAAATGTGCTTGCTCCAGAACTGGCAGAAAATTAATTTCTGTGGTTTATAAGCCACTCAGTCTATGGTATTTATTATAGCAGCCCAAGCTGACCGAGACGATAACTTCATAAAATAATAGTTAACATTGACCCAGCACTGAGCCACATTCCCAGTCCTTTTTATTTTTTATTTAGAGACAGAGTCTCACTAGGATGCTGACGGCCTCACCAAATTGCTAAGCCTGGCTTAGAATCTGCCATCCTCCTGCCTCAGCCTCCTGAGCCACTGGGATTACAGGCATGTGCCACTGTGCCTGGCCCAACCTCTGTTTTAAGCATTGCTATTTTGATTACTTTATATGTTTATAAACATGTTAACATTACGTCACACCTGACTATTGCTTTTAAGAGGTTGTATCAGTTTTCTTCGCCAACCATTCAAGGCCCTACAGGATGCGCCTCTGACCTTTGTTCTCCAATTTCAAAGGTTTTCAACTACTCCCTTCTGTATGTGCAATTGCTTCAGCTTCTGGAAGAAGCCTCTGTGCCTTGGCATCTTCTCTTCTGCCTGTTCTGGTGATGCCTTTCTGCACCTGGTCAGCTGGGATGTTGCTAGTCATCCTCTAAGACCCAGGAACTGGTCTGTTCCTCTGGGAAGCTCTTCCTGGTTTTCAGGGCAAAATTCACAGCCCTACCCTTTGGGCCTTTGCATCTGAAGCTCTGGTGGCCTGAAATGCTCTTCCTCTGGTTGTCATCCACCTATCTTTCAAAACCCATCTTCAGAATCACCCCAGGTATGAAGTGTTTGTGACTCACTGAGAAGAATTGACCATATCCTCCTCCATGCCCCAGAATGAGGGATTTCTCTTATTCCCCTGGGACACTGAACTGTGAGCTCCTTTAAAGCAATAGCTGTTACTGTCTCTCCAAATCCTCAGCCCTTAGTGAATGTTTGGAAAATAGACGGATGCATTTATCACATCATATTGTAAGTAAGCTGCTCGTGTATAATTGTATGCCACTATAATCATGAGCCCTTTGAGGGCAGAGATTCATTAGTTTTCATCTATTCTATGTTGCCTTTTTCCACATTTTCCCTCTCTACCAGTGCTTTTTTACACTAAGTAGGAGACAATGTTTACTAGATGGGTGAGTCAAGCCTGCATTTAGCTTATTTTTTAAAATTTAAGTGAAATGATACACAATTAAGAGCCTCTAGTGGAGTCAAAAGAAGACCTCAGAAGAGTCCTAAGCTCTGGGCTTTAGACCCAGAATCTTTACTGTGACCTTGGTTAGCCAGTTACTCAATTTGGATCTATTTTCTTGGAATGACTTGTCAGCTAGACTAATAATATCAAACACACAGGGTGGTTTTGAAGATTAAACAAGACAGTATACATAAAATGCTTGGCACTTGAAGGTGCTCAACCAATGTTAATTTCCTTTCACTCAGTTAGTGTCATAACATGGCTTCAATTTGGTTAGTTCCTTAAAAACAAAATTCTGTAGGTCTTTGAGCATTACAGACACAGTCTAGGTTACGTCCTTCAGTCAGCTGGATGTTAAATGGTGTCCTTGAAACCTGATGCTGGACTTTGCCAGGAAGATATTAGCCTACTCCCAACTTAGGTTATTTTGGGATTTGATGGCTTTGGAAAGGAGATAACAGCTGACTTTTATGAAGATAGAGAATAGCTGTGCTCTGGCAGAAGGTGCCAAAACCTCAACTAATGCCACTTGGAAAGAACACAGCACGCTCTGAACTTGGGCACTCAAAGGCTATTATTTTTGTGCCAACATAAGAGATTGTTCAGGAAGTTACAAAAAAAAAATGAAATCTCATTACATTGAACTTCAAGGTAACTGGAAAATTCTCTAGTTCAATGGCTTGATTGTGTTCAAGAGTCTTGAAGATGGAAAAAAAAAGGTATATTTGTCAGAATAGTCTAGGTAATACCATATTCATGGATGTAGGATCAAAGGGGAAGGGAAGAAGTCTAGGGTAGTGCTTTGCTTTTTGGTTTCTCATTTCATGATGTGGGAAAGATGGAGCAACTCACTGAATAAGACACTGATGGTTTGCCACGTTACATTTGCTTTGCATGAAGACAATCAGGAGAAGAAATTAAACAGGCCGGTAATTGTATGGGTCTGGAACTCAGGAGAAAGATGCAAACTAGATTAGTCATCAGTTCAGAACTGGTCATTGGTGCTAAGGTGGTTGGTGCTTCACTTTACAATGTCAAGTGAAGAT